TAAAATAAATAAAATGTTCAAAATAAGTAGCACTCTCAGTTTATATTTACCACTTTTAGCTAAGCATTTTATTTTTAAAGCTCAGGACTGAAACGTGTGGGAACAACCTTAATTTGAGAAACAGTTTTATGTATTGATATAGACCTCTATCTCAGCTAACTAAATGTCTTCAAATGCTCACCAACTGCAGGAACGTTTCGGTGACAAGGCCATGTACCAATGAAGATCCAAATTTCACAACTGCACATGCCAGCCTGAAACCCAGGGAAGATCGTCGACGCCACCCCCTGTACTGTGTTAGGCAAAACATAGTATTTTAAAGATTTAGTTTTAAATTCCACTTGAAACCCACAGTGCACCACACCAGAGCCGAGGTCACTAAGAAAGAGCATAGTTGCCTGCCCACTTCATGCTATCACCGAGACCACGTACGCCAGAGCCAGAACGTCTCTACCTGTGAGCCAGCCCCTCCTAGTCAACTTTTATTTGGGTCGGATTTGACCCTGCCCTTCTGGTTCATAGACAACATCCCCGTGAGTGCAATGAGAAAGCCTCTGTCTCGGCTCCCCTTTTCACAGCCAAATGCCAAGCATTTCAATTATTTACTCATTTAGACATTTTCTGAGAAATTCCAAAGAAAAGATTAGGAAAGAACATTAACTAAAGCCCGCCCATTTGATACAGTTCTTGACAACTTAGCTTGCACCCTGCCATCTAATGGTCATCATTGAAAGAACTGAATGCAACAGCCATGTGCATGAATGGGAGTTTCAAACTCTGGTAGTCAGAATGGGATCATGATAATATACAACCAGACCTGAGCCCATGGGTCCTTAATGGGTCATGAATTGACACTTAGAGTGATATACAATCACCATGAAAAGCTTTTAAATGAAACAACATGGAGTTGCTGAGTTCTATAATTTAAGATTTTAAGGAATGCTATCTGTGACAAAAAGTCTCAAGGAATTTGAGGGCGAAGGAAGACCACCAAACAGTCGATATATCCTTTACGAATTCCAAATGTCGGAGTTTTAGTGTCATGTTTTTGTCTCTCAGATGTAAACTTTTCCTGAAAGAAAAACAATACTGATTTGATAAGGAACAGATGACTTCGGTATTTGCTATCGGCACTTGTTGTGCTATACATTTACTTACCTCTATGGCAAAGTTAGGAACTATTTGAACTAAATCTTCAGCAGTCAGAATTTGAATTGCTGGTGTAAACAAGGTGTTCAAATTCAGCAATTTCAAACCAAATCTTACTTTTGAGAGTCTTATTCATTAATGTCAACTCATCATTGCAATTTTTGGCTTTATTTTCCATCGCTAAATTTAACGAAGAAGTTGAGTCAGTATCAAAACAAAATATTTCGGCCAGAAATTATCTGTTTGGACGGCCAGTAGAGTTTAAGCCTATGGAGAAGTTTTCCTTTGGTGTTTAGCATGCGTACAACCCGAAGATCAAAGAAACTTGTAGAGCGTGAGGCTTGCTTTATTGATGATCTGGTGAGTTTTGATCCCTTTAAATTTTTTGTGTCTGACCGTAACTTATCAAGTATGGATAAGTCTAGGATGCAGGAATAAAGATTAGCTAAACTTTCTAGCTCCTGACTGTGGTCTAATTCATTTACTTAAAATTTTATATGGAAAGATATTTCAAGGTAATCCACCTGTTTAAAAGTTTTAAAGTGACAAACTTACCGAATAAAATCAGCGTAAATTACAGCTTATGGCATACGAGAACGTTTGCTCGTTTCAAACTTTTCAAGATTTTTGGTGGGTATTGGAAACATGTGTCACCATAGTCAATCGAGATTCCATTTTTATTCGATTTTATTATTTTTCTTAAAAACCCGTTGGCTTGGGAGGCTTATTGCAGCCAATTTTGCCAATTGCACGCTTGGTCGATAAGAATAATTCTTTACTGGAAAGAAATATTCTATTATTATCTTCGGCGATATCTCTTATTTTGCGTTTGTGTCGTCGACAAAAAAGATAAACTCTTTAGAAATACTGCCGTTTGGCTGAATCATAAGGAAAAACTGTTCATCTTATATTTTTTGGGAAAAGAAAAAAAATTTTATCTTTAGAACAAAGAAAAATTTGGCTGGTGTCTGCCGGGCTTTCCTTTGTATTAACCAATAAAGAAATATTAATTTAGTGACCATTCTCTGATTCAATTTTTTTTAAAATAAAGTCGAAGTTCACTCATTCCTAGAAGGAAAATGAGGAGATAAACGACACTTGACTCGTTCCCATCCTCAATGCACTTTTTTCGCCACAATGTTGCAAATCAAAATCGATCACCGGTCCTCAGCCAGATAATGATAATTTTGTAGTGCAGATAGCGTTGGGAAAACTGGTAAAATACAACTCCATACTATACCTCGCAGATTTACACTAGCTGTGTATGGTTTTATTCCTCAATTGTGAAAAGGACTGTTTCACATAGTTGTTAAATGCTTGCGTTTCCCCCATTTAAGGAAACAGAAGATCGGCAATGGGCCCACCAATGGGCAGTTAATAAATCAAGAATCGATAAATGATGAAAGTGATTAGATTATTTTAGCGCTCTCTTGGCCCGTCTGGCCGGTCAATTTTTATTCTGTTAAAATAAAACTGTTTTCAAACCTCTCTTTTCGCTCAACAAGAGACATTTTCCTCCGCAAAAAATGCGTTTTTACCATTCTTTCAAAATAGAAGTTTCTGCCTGGACGGCAATTTGTCTCCATAAGAGCACAATTCAGCCCAAGTCTCCGCGGTATTAGCGGCCATCTTGGAAGACTTTTCAGTTTTTCATATCTGTCTATTTATCAAAGGGAAACTAGTTTGAAATTGTTAGTGATTAAGTTTTAGCCCGTCCTTTGCAATTGCTATGGTGCTTTGGAAGAATTTCGCTAACTTATTGGATTTTTTTGGAGCAATTAGTTTTTGGATGGAATGTGTTGGAGACATGAAAGCGAAGACCATAATCCAGCTTTTATAAGTCTTGTACTCGTAACAGATGAAACAAGTCCATCAACTCTCCAGAAAATACACAGTTCCGATATTTGGAACTTTCGCTATGCTTATTTCTAGCCAACTAAAATTGCTGTTATTTTCAATAAGTAGGTACGTTGTCTGAATTAACCTTGACGTTCCCTCTTTAACAATGGCCATTATTGGCGTTGTTATAAAAGTTGTAAGACATCAATAGGTCCTCCCTCTTAGTGAGGTTTTTTCTTTTTTCATTGGTAAAATAGAATGGAAAGACTGAGAAAGGCCAGATCCTTTTGTCCTTAAGCGAACAATTTGGTTCCTTTCTCCTATGTTTCATCTTAATTCAGTTTTCCTAAAGAATGTTTTAATCAGAAGACGCCCACACAAAAAGAGGGTTATCGCTGAAGATGACGACCTGGCTGGGGTTAACTCAAAGTTTGATCACATCTATGGCCTTCATTATCTTGATAATCATATCACCAGTTTAAATGTACTGTTGTCGATAACCAGTACAAAGAAGCAATCAAAGGGCAACTACTAAGCAGGGGACATCTGAGTCCCTTTGAATAAACTCCTCGGACAGAAAAACTACATAAAGACCACTATTACCCTTACTGATTCTTAACCTCAATTTTGATTTTAAGAGGCTACAATTAAGAGTGAGTATGGATTGGATTATGGTCTTCGCTTTCGGGTCTCCAACACACTCCATCCAAAAACTAATTGCTCCAAAAAAATCCAATAAGTTAGCGAAATTCTTCCAAAGCACCATAGCAATTGCAAAGGACGGGCTAAAACTTAATCACTAACAATTTCAAACCAATTTGGCAAAAGTCAGGCAAAAGTCAGGAGCTAGAAAGTTTAGCTAATCTTTATTCCTGTATCCTTGACTTATCCGTACTTGATAAGTCACGGTCAGACACAAAACATTTAAAGGGATCAAAACTCACCAGATCATCAATAAAGCAAGCTTCACGCTCTACAAGTTCTTTTTAAGTCTTCTGGGATTATTTTCACATAATTCTTTTTCAAGGAAAACTTCTCCATAAACTTCAGCTTCTCTTGCAATAGCCCAAACAGATAATTTCAGCCGAAACATTTTATTTGATCTCTGTTCAACTCTAACTAGATTAAATTTAGCGAAGAGAAGACAAAACATGACTTACTAAAACTCCCCACGACGTTTTAAGAATTCATCAAGGGATATGTCATTGTTTGAGGTGACAGGTGTTTCAGCAACCCCTCGGAATTCCTTGGGACTTTGTCATGAATTAACATTCTTTAAAGTCTTAAGTTGTAATTCTAGCTGACTCCATTCAGTAATTTTCTCATTTAAAAGCTTTTAAGCAGGTGGATTAACTTAATATCCGCTCTAAAGTGGTGTCAATTTCAAAGTTGTGAAGTGAAAAACCCATTAAAGGACCATAGACTCAGTCTAGTTATTATATTATCACCTTTTGAATCACAATTAGAAGCTACCGAGTTTAGCTCATCATACTGTGGCTGACGCATTCGTTCTTGGTAAGTGACCATTAGATATGGGAATTTAACCAAAGTTATCGCGAAATTATCGATGAACTGAGCTTTATAATTAGGCAATTTCTTTCTAATCCTTTTAACTGGAGTTTCTCAAGGAAAATGTCTCGATAAAATGCAACTTTTTTTGCAATGGTTTAATTAGAAATAACTTATTTGTTTTAAGCTGTAGAAAAAAGGGGAAACGAAGATAGAGGCTTTTCTCGTTACACTTTCACGGGGATGTTGTCTATAATTCCGGCAGAGAAAAAGAAGACGGGGTCAAATCCATTCAAATAAAGGATTAGACTAGGGGAGGGACTAAGCTCACGGGTAAGTTTCGAGCTCTGGCGTAGAGTAATTATCATTCGATACAGCATCGATGAAAAGCGGACGACATATATTTCCTTAGTGACCTCTATTCCGGTGAATACTTTTCAACTAGAGTTTCAATTAAAATTGAAAACTAAAATCCTACATCGCTATGTTTTACTTACCTATTTAGTACACGTGAAATTTTGGCACGTCGACGATCTTCCTACCCTACATTCAAGGCTGGCATAATGGCAGTTGTGAAATTTTGGATCCTTCTTGCTGTAACAGTGTTAGTGGCAACTATTATCACTGCGAGAAACGTTCCTGCAGTTGGTAAGAACATTTAAAGACACTTAGTTAGTTAAGGAATGAAAGTCTATAAATGTATCAAACGATTTCAAATTTCAAGGAATTAGTACCTATAAGTTCAGTCACAAACTGCGTCCAAAATGTGGCGAACGTAGTAAATATAGAGCCAGAGAGTCTCTTTTCCCTTATTTAGGTTTCGTTTTATTTTTTAATTAATTTTTTTATTTCATAGACAATAAGATTATCTATGACACCATGAATTCGGATATGATGGTTTTTACCGAGAAAAGGCGCAAAATCTCCCTTATCGTATATCTTTGGAGCGAGTACTGAAGTAAATCGCCGAGTTGAGCAAACATATTGCCTGGCTCTGCTTCGAACATACTCTTAAATAATAATTCATTTTTGTTTCCTATACAAAAGAAACCGTTACTGAATGGCCCTCGTTAATAAAAAAGGAAGCGCTTGCTGTATCAAGCAACCGAACTGAACTTCAAAGGAAATGGAAAGACCCATTGCAAGGTACGATGAGTACACATTCAAAATATACATTAAGCCCAAACAAAACACAGAAATCACTTCTGCACGTTTCAGTAATTCATTCATTTAGAATCATAGGCCACTGCTATCTACCTGACTCATCCCCCTGTTCTGCCCACTTTGACTGTAAGACCGTTAATTAAATGTCAAATGGCTCTCACTAAACGAATCCGATGAAATTGGCTTCTTTAAAAATATTTGGAGTCAACAATCGCATTATTTTTCTTTATAGAGGGTAAATGGCATTTCAAGACACCTAGCAGAGTTCTTTCCCGTAAAAAGTTTCAAGATGTGGGAGAAAAGACGTTGGAAAAATCCCTGATACTTTACACTCCATTCAGCAAAAGGCTGTTTCAAAATTCTATCAGCCAAAAGATCATCACAGAAGCGTTATCCACCACGTTTATCACGGGAATGGCTCAAGGAGAATTTCCCTTGAGCAACTATAGGTACTTTCTTGAACAAGATGCAGCGTATTTCGACCATGTAGCCGATGTGTATCGTCTCGCTGCAACAAAAATGGAAATCCAAAAAAATAAAGATTATGCTAATTTTTATTGGAAGCAGTCCGCAAAATTTTCCCATCTTCACAAGCAATTCATCCAGAAAAAAGATCTATCAGGGAATGGCCAGGTGGGTACAGCACTCAAAGCGTACAAGGATTTCCTAAGTAACGTTAGTCCTGAACACCTCGCATTAGCCATGCTCCCATGCAGTATGCTGTATCCTGAGTTGGCAAGAGTAGAAGTGCAAAATCCAGCGGGCAACTTGTACGAGGAAGATTTTTTTAAAGAAAACAGGCGTGATGATGAGAGCTCAACGGAAAAATTTGTAAATGAAATTAAAGACATCAAAGAACAGAGAGCCCTTCTAATTTTCTGGCGAGGATTGAAACATGAGCTGAATCTCCTAAGAGAAGTAGGCGACCAACCTGCTTTACCCATCCAACAGCTGTAAAACTTGTACCTTGTAAAGCTGATTACCCTTAATTATTTAATAATCCAGCACCTTCTACACCTTTGTAAAAATGCTTAAATCGTGCTTGTTAATATTCATTTGAATTAAAAGCATGTTTGAAGTTTCACGTTTCACGTAATAATCATAATAATGAGTTACATTAGGTATGAAAAAGTGCATGTTTAAGTCAAAATCAAAGGGCCTATATCACGTCGTGACTTTGCGCTCTGAGTCCTTACCTCTCACAAGAGAGAGATATCAGGAGTTCAATGCTGTCAAGAAATTGTGACCTTCGGAGAAGTCTATCACATCGCTGTTGTGGTGATAGAATTATTAACATGGATAATTTTTGAGAAATGTATAACACATCGACTATTCTTATCTTATTGAATGGAGAAATGAGAGAGACGGAAAAAAATCTGAATATGTAGCAACTCGCAGCTGAATGTTGCGAGGAATATATCAAACAAAAGAAAAGATTCCTTCAACTTTTCCAAAGTAGTTGGCAAGGATTTCTAAAGAAACTAAAAAGACTTCCTTCCAAAGTTTTTTTTTAAAACATACTCTTCTGAATTATTTTCCTTTAAACGAGAGCACCCATCTGAAACTATCTTTCATCTTTTCAAACTCGCATCACTAAACGAAGACTCAGAGACAAAATCGTACAATCGACATATCGCCAAAACACACACTCAATTACAGTATCCATGCAAAAAATTTCAGCATATTCATTAGCTAAGAACTCTTCAGTTAATCTCGTGATCAAACAGTGCAGAACATTGAAAATAAGTGCGAAAGTTGAAATTTAGGGTAGAAAGTTGAAATTAAGTTGATAGACAGATAAGTCGCGAACGTACAACAAATCGAAATGGCGAATAGGTTAGGAGAGAAGGCACGACGTTTTAACTAAGAGTTTGAAAGAAAATACAAAGAAAGAAGTACTCAATAAAGCATCAGAACTGATTTCAGTATGGAAATCGGGGGCCTCTATGACGAAAGTATTGGAAAGAACGAACCGGATGTCTAACCAAAGCTCATGATTTCGTGTAATTCTCACTGCTATTGACCGATATCCTTACAGAGAAAAAGTACAAACGCTCGATTATTAGTGACAAAGAGTTTCAAAGCTCGAAGCAAATTCTTGGGGGTAAAGCCCCACTATTTCGGCAATAAAGTAAAGGCAAGCGGCCAAACAAGGAAAGAAGTCAGACAATAA